GTGTGTGTGTGTGTGTGTGTGTGTACTATTGTGTTTACATTTACACAGGTTGTTAAAACTTCACTTGTGTATGCGTAAAAACTGATTTGCGTCGCCAAAGCAATGTCCCGTCCCAACACGTGCGTGTACTTTACACTCGCGTGTCATCAGTCTTCTTGAAGTCCAGGTTCAGGAGTCATATCTCCGTGTTTGCAGTGTCTGTAAGTTGGTTTGGATGCGGCCAAAAGGCGTCTGATTTCTGCGTCTTTTTCGCGCGTCTTGGCGCACATTCAAGGTTTTTTTACGCATTTTCTTGTTCTGCCTGAGCATAATGCGACCCCCCCACCACCCCTCAGGCGCATGTTTCGCAGTGTCAGCAGGTGGAAAGGGGGTCAGAAAGAGCGCGACAAGTCTCTGTTGGACCCCTTTGCCCTTCCTCTTCCTCCTACGTGTGCCCCCCTCCCGCCACGCTGTGGGCATCACAAGGTGTCCGAGCTGTTGCTGCACGGGCTGATCAGCGCCAGGTTGGTGGCCTTGTGCTTTTTCAACAGTCTCGTGATCTTCTCGTCGTCCGAATTCGGGTCCAGGGGCTTGTTGTACTCGTCGTCGTCCTCGTTGTCCGAGCTCTCCTTCATCTTCTCCGTCTCAGAGTCGTGCTTCTTCTTGGCCGTGGCCATTTCCGCCGCGTGCCTCTTCCGCCATTTGGTCCTCCTGTTCTGAAACCAGACCTGTGGAGGAGAGAGGGAGGAAGAGATGCTCAACAGGTCCACGAATGATGACAATAAAAAATGATCAAAATGTGATCAAAAGTAATCAAAAAGCACCAAACCAAAATGATCCATTAAAAGAATCGGGTGCAAAACACACTAAATTAAAAAAAACAATATAAATGACTAATAACAGCATCAATAAAAACAATTTAAATAATATAGGTTGTATCAAGTAATTCATCACAAATAACTTTTTATCTTCGTCTGCGCACCAATAAGTGGAATTTCACAGATTGCAGAAAAGAGAAAGTTGACCAAATAAAATGTTCCACATTTTGCAAAAATGACAAGGCAGGTGTTTTTATTTATATATATTTCTGTTTACCTTGACTTGACTCTCGGTCATCCCTAAAGAGTAGGCCAGGCGGGCTCTCTCTGGGCCGGCCAGGTATTTGGTCTGCTCGAAAGTTTTCTCCAGTGCGAAGATCTGCTGTCCTGAAAAGGTCGGTCTGGAGTGTTTCTTCTTCCCGTCCTTGTCCAACATCATAGCTTGACCTGGAAGGAGATCGCGCAAGGAGGCATGGTTATGTAAACATAGTGCAACTTCAGACGATTGCATTATTATTTTCTTAATTGATTTGGATTCCATTACAAGTCAATTCAGAATGAGCCTCTAATATTCCTAAAATGAAATTAAAGCTTTAATAAAGGACGCCATTGTGTGTGTGTATATATATATATATATATATTATTTACAAGTTTGAAAGTCCTGCCAAGTAGCCTATCACATTATAATTACATTTTCTATCAAGAACTTCCAGTGTCTGTGATGCTCAATGGTAGCCTGCCTTTATTATGGTGGCCAACATGCATCTCTTCAACAATTAATTATAATAGATTTAGATCACGTGATCACTGTGTATCATATTGTATTTGTGTGCGTTCGCTTTGTGTTGTTTTAGAAATGATATCTAAAACCATAAGCAATATTCTAAGACCCCACAGAGGAGCCGTGATGTTTTCTCTCTCTCTCTTTCTGAATTTATACATTTCCTCGAGCAGTGTACAAGCAGACCGGCGGTCAGACGGGACTTACTAGGACAGGGAAGCCGCGGGTCCCTCCAGGGAGAACCCTGCATCACCCCGGGCCAGAAGATGGGCGCCCTCCCCGGCAGCTCGGCCAGAGGCTTCGGGTACCGCGACATCGCCGCCGGGCTGAAGTACATCCCCGCTGCCGCCGCGGCGGCCGCGGTGGTGGTCAGGCCGTTTATCCGGGGGAACCCGGAGAGCAGCTGTCCGGCCGCGGTGATGGGTCTCCCCAGGATGTCGCTTATTCCGTGCGGGGTCCCTAAGGCCATGTGGGAGTTGAGGCATGAGAGCTGGGGCTTGAAGCCCACCGGGCTCTGCTGCAGAGAGTACGGGAACAGGGACGTCTTCATCTCGGTCATGTTGTGCAATGCCGCCAGCGGGGTGCTGCCCAGGACGAAAGCACTCTGCCGGTTAGCCTCCATTTGCCCGATCGCTAACATTTGTGAACATGAACCACCAAACTCGCCTGGATAAAAAACCGGAGATAAAATGATAACCTTTCAGAGTAAATAAAGGCGCAGAGCGGACTGGTGGTACTCAGGATCCAGGCCACTTCTGCCGCCTTCTGCAAAAGTATCCCGGATAAGGAAGAAGCAGACTCTTGAAATGTTGAAAAACTTGGAGCAAAAGCGAACTTCTCTTCTCTCGTGGGAAGTGAAAAAGCTTTGTCAAAACTCCCACAAAATGTCTCTCCGCGTGCTTGCTTCGGTCGCAGTCTGCCAGCTGGGAGAAGGCTGCATGCGTCCGCCGCAGGAATCCTCTCGGAAGTCGGCCGGTCTGATGATGTTTTTAGGTGGTTTTGATGGGAACCATTAAAGGGTCGACTTGTCTTTCCATAAATTGACTCGCTCTAGGCTGGGAGTGAAGCGGGACCCGCTGATAATAGCGCAGCCACCTGCACGCTCGCTATTCCCATTGGACGGGGGCTGAGTGAGACCGCGCCCTGATTGGAGGAGACAGAGACTCCGCTGCTTCTACACGTGCATCTTTCGCTGGACGGCTGCTGCCTTGACTTGCTGTCGGAAATAGCAGCTTCCAGCTCAACTGCGTATGAACGAGCCTTCTCGGTGGTTATAAGGACTGACTGGATTTATTTATGACAGATGATGATCCATGTTGCAGACACGTTACGTTTCAGAGCGGATACACAGGCGGAAAAAAGTAAGCGAACATAGCCCAGTGGGCTGCTATTTAAAGGCCCAGGCTTTATAAACGTATCCACTTATTTTTGAAACAGTTTTTGTATTTACACTCACCCTCACACTAACCCTAAATGTGTTCTAAAAGGCCACGCCTACGTTTTCTGGCTTTCTTGTGCAAAAGCAAAAAGCTCCAATATAGAAAACAAAGTACAACTATTTGTTTTCATCCTCGACTGAAACCACTCGATTGTTGCACAAAGCCGTATTAAAGACTTTGAAATTGTGCAATCCGGGGTGTTGGAGGAGACCATGAACGCACCAACAGCCACACTCTATTAAGATCTTTAGCTGTGCCGTTAATGATGCCTCTCACAGCCGTGGAAATCATTGTTTCCACATATGACAAAGAATATACATTTACATTATAAGCTGCTACCGCAGACAGTGAGAGTATATTAAAGTGGACTCGGTGAGAGAGGGGGGGGGGGGGGGGGGGGCTCTTAATGTTTGGAGACTGAAAATTAAATTTCAAAGACCAGTCCACGGGAAAAAAACACGATTTAACTTGATGTTTTTCACTAGGCTATTTTACAATTTATTTGTGTTGATATCTTTGATATGATAGGCGGCATGGCCTTTTCAACCAGTCGGCGTGTTGTTTATTTCCTCTGCACAATTTTGTGATTGATCCACTTTAGAGAATGATGTCGGAATAAACTGAGTTATTCCAGCGCGCGTTGTAATCCGCCTTCCTAAAAAAAGATTACGGTTTCACTCACTTTAACACCATCAGGAACATTATATCACGTCGTTTCACGTTTCCCATCAGGTATTTGAAATAAAAGAGTCAGTCTTTGAAGAGGAGTTGATCATAACAGAGTATATAAACTCTTTAAAGGACAGAGCTCGGGTTTTATGTTTTTTATTATAAGAGTGAGATAATCAGTGTTTTTGAGTCAAACTGCGTTATTACAGAGAAAGCGTGTGAGAAAACGCGCCCGGGCTCCAGTCATCACTCTGAGTGCTGTAATATTTTATGGAGATGTGAGAAGGTTGTAAGAGTGAAATATGGCCGCGTTAGCGTTTGAAAGGCTCCAGCAAATGCACCTTGCTGCCCATTTGCTCACCGAGGGAAAGATTGTGGATTTTAAAAGGTTTTCCTTTTTTCTTTTTTATTTCAACGCGAGGTGATTCACAATTTTGATTGTATTTCTTCAGGTTGAAGGGATGCAGCAGCCATTCACACGTTTTCTAATTCTGCAAATGGCCCTCTATTTCTAATTCATATCCATATTCTCCCCTGATCATATACATTGGTTTTTATCACCTTGTTTTAAAGTCTTTCTAAAATGATCAGAGGAGAAGCTTTTTTTGAAAAAAAGAAGAAATGTATTAT